AATTGTAAAAAAGGAAAGAATCTTTGGAATTATAGACACATAAGTGCATGATAACAGGTAAAGGTAGACATCTTGCCAGTCTCTGCCACAGTGCTCTAAATGTCAGCCATTAGGATGGGAGCTTTCCATGTTGAATTGTGTTAGAATAGCTATGTAGTTATAATTGTAAAAAAGGAAAGAATCTTTGGAATTATAGACACATAAGTGCATGATAACAGGTAAAGGTAGACATCTTGCCAGTCTCTGCCACAGTGCTCTAAATGTCAGCCATTAGGATGGGAGCTTTCCATGTTGAATTGTGTTAGAATAGCTATGTAGTTATTTATTGTATTTCTTGTTTAGCAATTTTTTTTACCTTGTACCCTAAGTTTCCTTTCCTCTATATAAAGAGGTGAGACATCTATAATAAACTTATCTTGATTTCTTTTCCTTGACATAGTGTCAAAGCTAGGTTACCTAAACACTTCATCTAGACGCCCATATCCGTGTTTGACACTTCCCTTATCCATGTCCGTGTTTGATACACCAAACACTTCTTCAATATATACATACATTTATTCAGACATGTACTGAATTATATAACATATGTTTTAGTTTAAAAACTTGTACTGCACTCCTTGGACGTATATTTTACACTTCACCTCAGATTAATGCAACTTGTTGGACTCAGGACAGGTTTCTTGTAGCCGACACCTAATTCATACATATGATTTCAAAGCATCATTTGAATATCAAGTTAAAAAACGAGTGGTTTTTCAATTTATAATCTACTCAATAAAAGAAACTTAAAAATGATATAAAGAATTTAGTTCTCATAACATGTGAATAAAAACAAAATCGATCTCATATAGATTATTAATTTTGATAAGTATGTATATTGTCATGTCCCCGTATCCTACCTCTTACAATTTTGTCATATCAGCACCCGTATCCGTGCAACATAGTATTGAGCCATCTTATTGATTCAAGAGAGACCACCTTCTTCTTCCTTGACCTCGGGGCCGCTGAGGGGCTGCAAACTTTATCTCCGCCTTCCTCTTGGCGGTTTCGACATTGGCTTCGACAATATCTTTTGCTTC